CATTACAACAAGTTACTACTACTAACATCTGTGCACTTCACATTACCAATTACTATTTCTTACATTTGTGTTGCACATTATAAAAGTATTGAAATGTCAAATATTTGAATAATTAAAACTGCAAAGAATATGAACTAATTCCTATTTTTCACAGAAGGAAAGCTCATAGAAAAACATATGGTTAAAAAAACTCCTTAAATTTTCATTATTAATTACATGATTATTTAAATTTTTATTACTAAAACCTTAGTAATAAAAATAAAAGATTAAATAAAAGCAAGAGAGTAATTAATAATGTAAATTTAACTCATCATTCCTTCACTTGAAAAAACAATCAAAGCTCAACATTGTGGTAGTAATACAATAGTAATTTTGAGGCAGATTTCTAAAGAGAAACACAAAACCAAAAAGTTTAAAATTTCTGAGAATTATAGTTTTTAAACTTACATGAATTTCCCCATAATATTTACCAAAATTTTGTGGGACCCCCATAAGTATTGCGCAAATCTGACACATGCATGAGTGAAACAAATTTTTTCGCTTATATTGTAATATACTATTGCAGTTTTAGTCATTAACTTTAATTTCTAATTTTAAGACACAGAACAATGTGAAAATTTTAAATAAGTAACAGACAAAATGACAGTGTCACGTGCAAAGCAAGGAAAATGAATGTTTATATTATAAAAAGAATGCGTCGAAACATTTTTGTTTTTTCCTTTGTCTGTATTGTCTTATCTTTATTTATTTTCAGATACACTGTGTAAAAATATTTGGTAATTGTAAAATTATTATAATAAGTTAAAGAAATATAAAAATTGCTAAAATTTTTGGCAACTCCCTGCTGCAGGTCCCACACAAACCTGCTTTAAACAATTAAACAACAACAAAAAAAAAAAAAAAAAAAAAAAAATCAGGATAGTAAACCCATAAAATGTGTTCATAAACTGCCTTCAGAATATGAACATAAGATTATTAGTTTGAAGAATATATTATATATATATATATATAGAGAGAGAGAGAGAGAGAGAGAGAATACTTATAAAAATTCATTCTATATACTAAAGGCATTAAAACAAACTTTAAAAAAATTTAGTCAATTTATCTTAATTTAATCAAATAATTTTTGCTTAAAATTTTTAAAAGAAACATTGATTTTTTATGGGAGGGGGGAATTTGAATCAAGTACTCTATTATGTAAAAAATAAGAATGTTTTGGAGAAACTCCATTGCAATAAATGGGCACCCCCGCCCTCAAATTCAGGGCTGACTATGCCTTCTGCATCGACTGTCAGATACATGAGTCATCCTACAGAAGTGCATACCACATGCTAGAGTTGAGAAAAGACTATATTCACAACTTGCAGTTCCTTTTTGCCAACTGATGCTTTTTTGGCTAATCTTTGGAATATGGTAACAGGTAGTTTGGCAACATTTTGTTAAGGCGATAAAGGTTACTAACTAGGATTTTAGCAGTGTACATGGATAAAGTCAAGAGTGTGCGCAATGTCATTTTTGTGCAATTCTGGGATGTTTTTTTAAGTGAAAATAGGTTGACGTGTACATGGATGATACCGTGTATGTGCAATTCTTAAAAACGCAGCAAGCAGTGGGCGATTCTGCACTTTGTCCCAATTTTGCACCTAATCTTCGTCATGATTAAGCACTTTTGTTCCATAAAAGTTCTAGCATAAGCGTAATTCGGCTAGCAGATTGTTGGGAAAAAATGTTGAGTTAAAAAAAAAAAAAAAAAAAAAAAACATGCCTTTACTTCGTGAAAACAAAATGCTGTTCAAACAAAAACTAGCAGGTTGCTGTAGCAGGGTTGGTCGCCAAATTTTCGCCAACAAAATCGCCAGGTTACCATAATCCAAAGATTAACCGCTTTTTTTTTTTTTTTTTTTTGTGTGATGGTATGTTGGATATCATGAAATCTCTACAAATAATAAAAGAAAGAGTCTGTCTGTGTGTGTGTGTCTTTTGTTTGCGCTGTGCTAATATACCCACGGCTACGAAATTTGGTATATAGGTGCATCTAGACAAGAGCCATTGCACATCGAAGCGATTTTTTTCGAAATTCAAATTAGAATTTTTTTATTTCATGCTTTATGACGAAATCGCATCATTTTGAGACTTAATGGGCTATAGGAAAGCGAGATTTTACTCTACACACTCCATTTTCACATCGTCATGAAACGTAGGCACTTAGCTATTTTATGAACTTAAAATAAATTTCGGATTTCAATAAATCGATTCAATACAAATTTATTTAACAAAGGGAGCTTAACCAACACCGACTCTACTAGTTAGTCGGTGTTGGCTTAACACCTTTTCAACGGGATTTTTTCTAACAAAGTTTATGTTTAAAAATGTACATTTTATTTTTCTTTGATTTTTTGGACACGTTAAACTTTCATCCTTGCGGCACTGTTTTTACAAAAAGAATTTTGGAAAAATGATAATATTTTGTATTTTAAATTTTTTTTTTAAATGAAGCTTCCGAGTACACTTCTCACATTTCACATCCTTAAAAATGTGATTTTGGCAACAATTTTCCTTGTCTTATTGTTGTTGATAAAATTTTTGATGAAACCGCATCATTTTAAATAGTTTCATCTCTTTTAGAAATATGGGTTTGGCAACATTTTTCCATCGTATTTCGTATATCACTGTTTTTAAGAGATTCGCATATTTCATTGTTATATATATATATATATAATACATTTATTGATGTATCTATATACATTTTTATTGATTTTTTTTGACAAAGTTGTTCTGCAGAGTAAAATTCTGTGCAGAATTTTATGTTTTTTGAGTTGCTTTCATGTTATTTTTTGTTTATTTCACTGTTTGTAACATACTGAAAAGTTTTGCATAATTTTTTTCCTTCAACGGAAAGTTAGTTAATTTTTTTATTAGGATAATTAATAATGTATTAAGGGATATAGCTTATTTCATCGTAATTTTTTTTTCTTGAAAATATAAGATAAAATATCATTAATTATACTTTGCTTTTCAGAATTTTTTGTTTTTTGTATTCTTTTATGTTATTTATTGCTCATTTCACTTTTTTTAAGACATTGAAAAGTTTTGAGTGATTTTTTTTAGGAAACAGTTCTTAAGATTTTGCAAAGGGAAGTTGACTAATTTATTTATTAGGATAATTAATATTTGTATTAAGGGGATATTGCTTATTTCATTGTAATTTTGCTATACGTAATAACTTTTTTTATGAAGTTGTTCTGCAGAGTAAAATTCTATGCAGTTTTTAAATTTAATGTTTGGTGTTCCCTTCAGCTATTTTCCCGGTACATTTAAAAGCCAGACGAAGACTGGCAGCAAAGCTGCTAGTGTTGAATAAATAAAGGTCAGATAAGCAAGACTGCTGTATAAAGTTTGAGGGCATTCTCTAGTTATGCAATCTAAAAAAATTTAAAAATCATATATAACAAGATATAAAAATAATCAAGTAAATGAAATGTGATATTATACTAGTCCCTTGTATAAATACTTTAGTATTTGAGTAACTTGTAGACAAATACAAATATTTCAATGAAAATGACAAGAAATATATGATTTGAAAACATGTAAATTTTGGTACTATTTTTAACACTGGAAATTGGATATGAATACCTCACAATATCTGGCAGAATACTTGTTCTTCATTTTATCTCTACTTATTTGATAGCAACAAAGATAATGTGAAAGTGAATCACATTTTGTGGGATCAATTTAGACTTTCAAGGTATACTGTTTAAGTAAGAAATTTCTTGTAATTTTTGTGCAATCTGTATTGTTCATTGTGAGCAAGGTAATTATTGCGTTAAAAATGAAATGGGACTCCTGTATGCATAAGAAGTTCCTTAAGTCTCCCTCTTTTTTTATTTTTTGTCTAATATGTAATCATATTAATTGGCTATAAGATGCTTAGCAATAAATGTTAAAAATCTTTATTAATACAGTCAAAAGTCTTTAACCCGGACCTCAAAGCTACAAACTTTTTGTGCATGCGTCAATGCATGCGCATAATACCTTTACGCATGCACGTTTAATGTATAACGGATGGTATAAGCTAAGCTAAAATTATCTATTTCAGTTAATGTTGTAGATTGTGCTGTTCCTTAATCTTCTAACTGGATCCGGCTTATTATTTTTTGGAGACTGTTAGAGCAATTTTATAAAAGTAAGCTTGAACTTTCAATTATGTCAAAAAGAATTTCTGATTTTGGAGCTACCAAAGGATCTACAAAGCGACAGCATGTTCCAATGTCCATCAAACAAATGAATAAAGGCTGAATGATGAAATTGCTGCAAAAAATGGATAAAGGCATATCCTTTGATTCTCTAATCATTCCGAAATATGTTTATCAATTTCATTCTGCTCTGCGGGGGCGGGGGGGGGGCTCGCGGCATGCAATGAACTGGAAGTTATCTGTCAGCACTATCTCACTTCAGAGCAGATGTTTTTTATTTTATTTGGCTTATAATTCCTTACTACTGTTGTATTATCTCGATGTACTCCGTCTTCGCTATGATTCAATCAATTCATCGTCATTATAAATATCACGAATACACATCAAATAGTTTCTGGTTGCAATTTTCTAATTTCGACTATGCGTTATGTATGCTTTATCATGCGCGCGTAAAAAATGTTTAATAAAGTAAACAAATAATATAAAGCTTTTTTTTTTTTTTTTTTTTTTTTTTGTAAAATTTTGATACCCTTTAGATCATAATTGCTCTTTATTTCATAAACTATGTCTTCATATTTTTAATTTCATAATTTCTGCATGCCTTCTTACCAGATTTAAACTGATGATCTATAATCCGGAATCGCCGAAGTCCCGACGAGTCCAGATTAAAGACTTTTGACTGTATTATTATTATTCCCACTTTGGATAAAATAAAATATACAACAATCAACATGTGCTGATTATCTAAAATTCAACATGCATGTAACTTTCAACAGTATTTGAAAACAGTCTACTGAAAATACATACCCAAGTATCAAGTCAATATCTTCATGATGAGGTTTTAAAAATCTTGGCAATTCCAAGGGATAGACTATTTGCTCCAACAAAGTTCCATCAGAAAGTAAAGGACGCTGAGGTAAAAAAAATACAGATGATGGCTGAAAAGGCAGTCTACGAGTTATAGTTCCTTCATGAATCGGCCATAGTCCTTTAATAATTCTAAATAAAGATGTTTTACCACTGCTACTTTTTCCAGTAATAAGTAAATTTTTACCAATAAAAATTTCCAGAGAAATGTCCGAGATTAAAGGCTTTGTTTCTCTTGGTGCACAAAATGTCACATTATTTAATTCAATAACAGGTACTTGTGAATCACCTGAAAAGAAATGCATATATAATAAAGAGAAAGTATTTTTAAACTTATAAATATGTAAATGAATTTAATTTTGTTCCAAATTTATTGTATACTGAATAATTTTTTATTGAAAATCGGATCAGTCAGAAATATTTTGCTCAGTAAGGAGAAAATAAATGCTGAAACAGAACAGATGTTTAGTATAATAAATCTTCCATCACGTAAACACTATTAATTTTAAAAAAAGGCAATGAATGTTATTATTTTATAGTTAAAAGTTGATTCCAAAACAATCTGGGTATGCATGAAATTTTCCTGTGTGTTATTTACATGAAATTTAAAAACATTAAATATAAAATCGCATGACATAATAAAAAAAATAATCACTTCATATACAGAACAGATTTTGTGATAGCTATAAATTATAAGCATGCATCAAGTGCAGGTTATTGCATCAAATACATTTTATTTTGCTAAAAAATTCCATGTTAATTGTGTATTTTTTTTTCAGGTTCATTTATTAGTCTTAGCAGAAATTATAATAATTTTCAGTTGATTAAAGAGTCTTGGATATTTTGGTGTTTTCTGATTATGCACACCTCTCACCGAAAAGTCACAGATTCACTAGCAACTTGATGAACTTGTTATCAGCTAACTTTTTACCAAGCTAATGCAAAAAAGCCAACAGCCATTTTCAAGACAGCAAACCACAAGGAATCCCATATAAAAGCGACCAATCAATAAAATTCAAAGAGCAAGAAACATCAGTAACAAAACACTTAGCTTGGTCGAGGAATCCTTTTTTATGCTGCTATTCTCCTCATGTACACAACGGGGTTAAAAAAGTGGTGAGAAGTGCAGTGGCCAAAACAGCTGTGCTATAACGCATATCTGAATTACCACATGAATACATTTTAGCAATCTTGTGGGTTGCCAAATAACTGCACTTGTGTGTAAAATTAAGAGAATTTACACATTATATTGAATTTCTGAAAAATGAACGGATGAATTTTAATGAATTTTGGTATATTCATATCAAATTTCATTACATTTACATTACAAATTATATTTTTAACAGAGAAAGAGATGTATAGTTCAAAAATTTATTTTATATACACGTGATTATCAGTAAAGCTCATAGAACAGGTATGTCCAAAATCCATGTTGTGATATCGAAATGGAAATGAGTCTAGTATGGGGTATGGTTCCTTGTCACAGTTTATGCAGCATGATGCAGATTGAACAGGATTCAGTTAAGGAGCCCCTATGGCACTCGATCTCACTCCTGCAGCAAGGCAGTTTTCAACTCCGGGACTGTTCTTGGTGATGGCGAGATTAAATTGAAGAGCATCCTAGACATGCTCTGTAGCAGGAATTGCCAACAAATTGATGGCAAAGCCCATTTTGGTCAATCGCATGCAAATTTAATTCGAGGAGTTCTATCAAATGTCATCTTTTCAGCTGAATACCAACCTGAATTATTACAACACACCAATGTAAAACGGTTAAGCAGAGGTAAATTTTTACAGCGATTTTGCGATTTATTGCTAGAAAGAATAAATTTGCTTAATGAGCAAGGTGAAAAAGAAATGTTAAATGATGAAAAATTTTAATTTAGCATTCCTTACCGATTTCACTTGTATATTAAGTCAATTAAATCTAGAGTTACAAGGTGAGAATAAAAGAATAATTGAAATGATAAGTTACATAGATGCATTTAAAACAAAATCAGTTTTGCTAATAGAAGATCTACAGCAAAACATTCAAATAATTTTCCTATTATGGCAGATAATTTATAACAACATAAGAATAATAAATATGCTGACAAATATGTAGTAGAAATTTAAAAAGAAATAGTAGATTCTGAGATAGGATTTCAAGATTTTGGAAAAATTTTTTTTAAATTGTATAATTAACATCTTTTTCTTTTGCAAAAGATTTAAGTGTGAAACGTATTAGCAAAAAATTTCAGAAGTATTTCAAATGTAGCAAAAGACATTACAAAATGAAATTTACATTCTCCAAACTGATTTAATGTCTATAAGCCAGAAAATCTGAATATGATTTTTGAAAGTATGTCAACCGAAAAAATATCCAAGTGACCAAAAATACCAAATGTAGCAAATATACTTAGTCTTGTTTTTTTTGGATCAGCTTAACTCTGTGAATCGTCATTTTTCTACTTGTAGTTAAATGAATACTAAACAACATTCTGTGTTGACCTATACACATATTGAAAACTCTTTGATATTATCTTTATCAGGATATACACCTAATTATGATTCCTTGGTTAAAGAAATGTAAACTCAAGCTTCTCATTAATTAAAAGTAATAAAATATATTCTTTTTTTTTTATCTTTTTCTTTAATTTTTTGCTAACATTGTCAATCAATAATTTTGTTGTTTAAGTTTATCTGGATGTTAAAGTTTGGTCCATAAACTGTTCTGTAATGTAAAATAGGTATATAACAATATAATTTAACATATTAAGTACTTTACACCCTGCTTGCCCTATTTAAAATACACCTATGACAATGGGTCAATCGTGATGCATTTTTTAGAACAAAGTAGATATTTTGTACACAAAAGTTGGCCACCTCTTCTCTATAGGGTTAAGGCTAGGATATCTGGCTGGCCTATCCATGCCACGAATATCCTCGCTTTCCAGGTAATTGTCAACCAACTGAAAACCATGTGAATAAACATTGTCATGCATTAACAGGAACGCACAAAAAAGTACACCCCTGAAAAGTTTAACATAGGGCTCTAAGATGTCTTCTATACCTCACAGCAGTCAGGGAGCCTTTGTCAAACACATGCAGGGATATGCAGCCATCCAACATAATGCCTGTCCAAAGCATTACACCTCCACCACCATAACAATCCTTTTTGTGATGAGAGACAGAAGATATCGTATTCCAGGCTCTCTGCAGATACAGGTGCTTCAAGAATGGTTGTGTAGGCTGAATCTCAACACATCTGTAAAATGCATGGTGCTCCACTGAAGGTGCTGTTGCCTGCACCATGTTAAATGTCCTCTCTTCAATACTGCAGTGAATGAAACATTAAGAGTGGTTTTCTTTCATATAGCCATATCTCATGAAGGCTCTAGTTAACTGCAGATCATGAAACTCAGGTTCCAGTGGCAACATAGAGTTCACCTGAGAGGCGAGAAGCTGTAGCAGTCTTGTATTGCCATGCTGAAAAGTGTTAACCAACAATCCTCATTCGTGCTTTCTAATGATTTACAGAAGAACATTTCTTTGGCAAAATCCCTTTTATGAATATATCTTACATAAGTACGGCCTCTCTGTCTCTCAAAGTTGGTTCATCCATTTGCATCGGAAATTTTCTTGTTTTCAGCTTTTTAACAAGTTGTATTTCAATATCCTCACTCATTTCATCTTTCTTCTGCAAACAGTATTGTTACTTAGTGGCACAGCTTTAACGTCTTTGTCATCTTTTTCTAGAACAGTTTTAAATGCTGATATTGATGGTTTGATTAAGTTCTCCCCTATAGTATGGCTTTTCCCAGATTAAGCGATGAGTAATGAAATTTGGTAAATAGCCTCACGAGCACGATTAAGAGTTGCATTATGAGCAGTAATTAGAGACTTTAAGGAAAAATTTTTGAAAAAAAGAGTAATATTATAGTGTGAAAATAATTCAAATCTGAAACAATATCAGCATTATGGTTCGCCTTCAAATGTGCTTCAAGACAACCTAGTTTCATTGATTCGTTGGTCAGGCATTATTGGCGCAAAAGGTGACCATTTATCGACCGGGTACGAAACCAAACTTTAAATATACCTCCGAATACTGACAAACTTTTTTCTTGCTTGCACCCCTCATTTCACTAAGGGCTGAAAGAAATAAATATAAGATAAACAAAGCTGAAAGCAGCTACTGTTGTCACTCAAGCAAAAAATAATATACCGATTGCCATTTCTACAGTAAAAAATAAAATAAATTCATTGGCTGAAATGTGCGAAAAACCTCTGGAAAGCATAATGTGTCAGTTATTTAAATGCCCTTTAAAAGCATTTAAATGTCTATGTCTACAGCGAAAATTCTTCATAAAATATTTAAAATGCACCGCAATTTAAAAACTTTTTACGTATGCATCACTTACATTTTTCTTTATTTTGGGGAATAAAAAATGAAATTTAGAAAATTTTTGAGTTATAATAATTAAATATAGGATGCCATGTGCAAAATAAACATTAGCCATCACCATTATCATCTAGATTCTTGAAGCATATATAGAAATTTGAACTTCCTTTGCCCCTTAAACTCTGGAGAGTCCATTTTCGAATTGCCCCCTTAACAGTCGCGTGGGCCCCATGTTGGGAAACACTGAGTTATACTATAACATCATTGCCAATAAGCAATAAGAACAAATATTAATCCAGGAATTCTCTCTTTTAGATTTTTTGTTGCTTAAGAAGATGAACTGGAAGCTGTCAGATATGAACACCTGGAAGTTAACTACAAATATATTATTATTGGTTCTGATATAGGATGCCATGTGCAAAATAAACATTAGCCATCACCATTATCACCTAGATTCTTGAGTCATTGAAATCCTGAGACAACAATTACATGAAAACACACAAATGTTTTCAGCAACATTAAATGAAATAAGAAGCTTTATACCACTTGGGTAACCTGAAATTAATGTGGTAAAATCTATTTTTTTATCTATTGATTTTTTTCATTTATTCTGAATTTAATAAAATAGTTGTTCTTTACATGGGGCTTTATGTATCATTAGGGTTGCCACCATCAATCAGATTTCATGCCAACATATATGCTTGGTGCTAAGTGGCGTTATGTTAACAGAAAGTACGTATAATTCTTAGAAAAATGAGAAAAATATCTCATAATTTCTTACTTTCAAAAAGTGGATAAACAATTACTAAGTATTTTTAGAAATTAATCAGCGAACTACATTCTACATCAAAATCTAAATTTTTTTCCCCAAATAAATTCAAGTAATGCAGAAGACTGAATAGTCATTC